TGGTTATACAAGTTCACAAAGCCAATAAGTACTGTTTGTCCTATTCCATCATGTCCCTTCTTGGCCTAGTTCTACTTTCCCAGCAATGGAAACTGATCAACTATGTCACTTTTAATAGTTCCTAAACAATTCTTAACTATATTATTTCATCTAATCTATAGAACATTACATTCTGATCTTGTTCTTAAATTTATTGACAAATTCAAGAGAGAATTTTACTCTTTTAGCCCAGTAAAAATGAAAGCAATTGAGTAGTAGAGGGGAAGGGAAAACAAAACAGAACAAAACATTTTATTATATTTCTTCTAGAAGTGTTAATTATTAGTCAGATATTCAGGATGACTTGGTATTAAAGCAAACATTTATTAATTTAGTTGATTTACAAATTCACCACAAAGGTTATCTACTCTTTCATCTGCGACAATGTCTCTCAAACTTCTGTCATTTCATATATTGCCTGCACAAGTTGGTTTGCTGTATTGGTATAGTGCCTGTACTAATATTAGTATTTACCTTTATATGGCCTTTAAATCCACTCGTTTTTCATACTTTGCCTAGCTCTAAGAAATAACATCCATTAAACTAAAAGTGTGATGTGCTGGTTTTACTAAACTCATTAAAATAATTGTGTAACTGTTAAAAATGTCCATGGACATACCATCTAAACTCATCTCATGTGAAACCAGTGACTTTCTTGCCACATTTTGGGTGATCTGATCCTGAGATGTCAATTTATGATACTAGTTAATAATAAAGCAATTATCTCCGAAATCTATCATGGGTTGCTAATTATTCAGATTTGTGGACACGTACCAAAAATGTATGGGCCCATCACTAATTTCAATAGATATCTGAAGCCCTGGCTTCAGATATTCTGACTCACAGAGTAGGATGGGGTCCAAGGAAGGTGCATTTTAAAAAATACATATTTTATTGATTTTTTTACAGAGAGGAAGAGAGAGAGATAGAGAGTTAGAAACATCGATGAAAGCCAAGACCGGTTTGGCTCAATGGATAGAGCGTCGGCTTAGGGACTGAAAGGTCCTGGGTTCGATTCCGGTCAAGGGCATATACCTTGGTTGCGGGCATATCCCCAGTGGAGGGTGTGCAGGAGGCAGCTGATTGATGTCTATCTCTCATCGATGTTTCTAACTCTCTACCTCTCTCCCTTCCTTTCTGTACAAAATCAATAAAAATATTAAAAAAAAAAAAAGAAACATCGATGAAAGAGAATCATCGATCTCGATTGCACACCCACTACTGGGGATGTGCCTTCAACCAAGGTACATGCCCTTAACCGGAATCGAACCCAGGACCTTTCAGTCCGCAGGCCGATGCTCTATCCATTGAATCAAACAAGTTTCTTTTAGGAAGGTGCATTTTTGCAAGCATCCCACTGAGTACTGATGTGAGAAGACCCAAGGGCCACATTTTGAAAAACAGTGGGCAGAGGGGTAGGACAGATTTTAAAACTAATTCTAGCTCTTCAATAGGATGACTTGGGTTCAAATCTTAGTGGTTTTTTTTTTTTTTTTTTTTTTTTTTATCAAGTTGTACTAGCAAAACATTAGATAGAGCTTAATACCATCTTAAGTTCAAAGCAAGTCACGTGACTTCTGCGATGCTTGGTTTCCTCATCTGTTAAATGACAATGAAAATTAAAGTGACCTTACTGGGTTATTTTAAGACTTAAATGGGTGACGTGTCAAAACCACAGAACCCTGTACATGCTAGGAGGTTGATGAGGATGTGGAACCACTCCAGCAGCCTACCACTCAGAAGACAATCAGCATCCTATATAATAAAAGATTAATATGCAAATCGACTGGACAGTCACTATGATGCACCAGGGGACAGATGCTCAATGCAGGAGCTGCCCCCTGGTGGTTAGTGCGCCAGTGCATTCCTATAGGGGGAGCTCCACTCAGCCAGAAGCCAGGCTCATGGTTAAGGAGCATAGCGACTGTGGTGGGAGCCTCTCCCGCCTCCGCAGCAGTGCTAAGGATGTCCGACTGATGGCTTAGGCCCACTCCCAGACTTCAAGAGGGTACAGGTCAGGCTGAGGGATGCCCCCCCCCCAGGTGCACAAATTTCATGTGCTGGGCCTCTAGCTTCAAATAAAGATACAAGTGCTCTGTTCCATACAAACACCTACTCCCATTTAATTACAAACCTTGAATTTTGCCTATAATAAATTAACCTCCAAATTGAGTGTGTATTTTATTTTTTTATTAAATTGATTGGGGTGACGTTGGTCAACATGAACATATAGTTTTCATGTGTGGATTTCTACTTTACAAGATCTGTATATTGCACCATGTGCCCACCACCCAAAGTTTGAGTATTTTAAATAAGATACTTGTACAATAGACAATTTAAAATATTACTGATTGATGACTACAAATTAAATTCTCAAAGAATTGTATCTGGCCCTATCTGGTTTGGCTCAGTGGATAGAGTGTTGGCCCTCAGACTGAAGGGTCTTGGGTTCCATTCCAGTCAAGGGTATGTACCTTTGTTGCAGGGTCCAGTCCAGCATTCCAGAGGCACTTACGGGAGGTAATTTATGTGCCTCTCTCACATCGATGTTTCTCACTCTCTCTCTCTCTCTCTCTCCCCCCCTTCCACTCTCTCTAAAAAAATCAATGAAAAAAAATATGCTCACGTGAGGATTTTTTTTTAAAAGGAGTTCTATTAGGACCTTTAGGGAAAACCCCAAACAATGGCTCCCAGGCCAGAGATGTCTCAAAGGTAGCCTATCTTGGTTACTCTGATTTTAAGAACTACTTTATAAGTAGCATGTAAAATTATCCTTGTGGTTTAGAATAAAAATGTGTATTATTAAAAAATAACTTGCTCCTTGAAAAAAATATAACTCCCAAATAATAATTTTAACAGCAACTTTGTATATTTGACTACAGGGCAAATATAACAAAGACAATGATTAGTCATACTTTTTTACAATAATTCATCAAAGACTTTAGCCATGATCTGATGTAGATACTTAAAATTAAAGTTACAAAATATAGAAAAGCCTTAGATTTTTCTGAATGCCATCTGTTAAACCATTCCAAAATGAGCCAATTATGCTACACAAAATTTGTTAATAGACTAAAATTTAAAAAAAACAGTTGCTTTAGGTTAAAGTACAGACTCAGTCTGATCTATTTATAAAGAGATTAGAAAGCTATGCACACAATCAACATTCAATCTTTTATAGAACCCACACAGCACTAACAAATATTCAACCAAATGAAAACATTACAGTTAATTCATTAATTGTCAGTACTGAATCACTCCAAGGACTAAGAGCTATTCTCTACTAACATGGGTCCTTGAGCCTCTCCACTCAGCATGGCACTTACTCAGCTAAAGTGGAGGCAATAGGGCGACCAGTAACTGCTCAGTGACCAGCCACTCAAGCATCAGCTATACAGCAGATGTTTTTCCCACCTGGAGATGGCATATTTGCCCAGCTGTTTTTTTTTTTTTTAATATATGTATTTTTTTATTGATTTCAGAGAGGAAGAGAGAGGAAGAGAGAGATAGAAATAGAAACATCAATGATGAGAGAGAATCATTGATCCACTGCCTCCTGCATACCCCACACTGGGGATCGAGCCCACAACGCAGGCATGCGCCCTTGACCGGAATTGAACTCGAGACCTTTCAGTCCACAGGCCATGCTCTATCCAATGAGCTAAACCAGCTAGAGAGCCCAGCCAGGTTTTGAGGACCAGGATTCCCAGCTGCTACAACATTGGTAAACACAAAAATCAAATAGCAGGGAAACTTATTAAGGAATACACTGTCATCCTTCTGGTTAGACAGATTATCCAATTTCTACCAATCCACAACCAATGCTTTCCTTCAGTAGGTGTCATCAAAAGCATTTGATAGCTTATATGAAGCAAGTACAGCATGACAGCCAAATTTCAATGACATGGCCTCTTGAGCCAGTCTTTGCACTTAAGTTATGAGCTGAAGAGGAATTGAGTCCAGTGTCCTTAAACAAGGAGCGGCTATTAGGAATGAATTAGAGTATTTATTGTAGTTCTTGAATTGTTTGTAATATTTGATGCCTGGCAAGGACCATGACTTTGTGAGACTATTGATTGTGGATATTCTGGAATACTAAATGTAATTTGCAAATACTTATGAAAATCAATTATCTCTTACTACCAGGCAAAATTGCTATTATATTAATATAATAAACAGAAATCCCATAATAAGCAAACATTACAACCTGAAATGTAAACACAGTTTCGTTTAATGTACCTGTTAATAGATTTTTACATTAAAACCAAGTTAATCTTCAATCTAAAAGATGGAATACTCAAGTGTTTTATTTATTAATTGATTCAACAAATATCTATTGAGCATCTGCTAAGTTCCAAGATCATGCTAGGGAAGCAGTGTTGAGTAAAAGAACCCCAGCCACTCTCTACTGACAAGAAACTTATCACTGTTAACTTTAGAATAAGTAGGAAATCCAACTTTAAAAATAAACAAGATATTTCTTAATTTAATAAGGACTAAAATATCAGGCTGCCCATAAAAATATTCTTGAGATTTTAGAAATTTTTTTACATTATATTATCAAATGTTAATGCTGAAACAAACTGTAAAAAAATACTGTACATCAGACATTTTCTGAAATTTAGAATATTAACAAAAGATATAGGTATTTATTATAATAAGGTAAAAAGTAACATATAATATAATGTATATTAAATCATAAAAATAACTGGAGTTTTAAAAGAATGATTATACTATAAAGATATCTTTTCCTCTCAATTACAAAATTATTACCACATATACTAGATCCTGGTAAAGTTTCTCTTCTAAAGTTCACATCTAACAACAGAGAACCTTTCGGCCTTGAAACAAGCAAATGGACATCCAGTAACAAGGGACCAAAGTCTCACTTGATTTAAAATTGCAAAGCTTCTTGGCTACTTAGCATACTGAAAATGAATTAAGATCTCAATGCTGCTTACCTTATAATCTCTGGATACATTTTCTGTTGTCACTGAACCTGAAATCTGACTAGAAATTGTAGCAGCAATAAGCTGTTTACACCATTCAACATGTGATCCTGTGGGACTAAAAGAAATAGTGTGATTAAAATATTTTAAGACATAAGTTCTTGGTGAGAAAAATGAGCTCTGACTGAGGATATACACTGAGTGGCCAGACTATTATGATCTCTTAACGCCTGATAATCTGGCCACTCAGTATGTGTGTGTGTGTGTGTGTGTGTGTGTGTGCACGCTCATATATATATATATATATTCTATCTAATAAAATAGTAGTATGCAAATTAACCATCACTCCGTGACAAAATGGCGGCCCCCATAGCCACAAGATGGTGGCACCCAGTCCCCTCAGCCCTGCTGCTGGAGTGTCTGGGCCTGTCCACCCGAGGGGGTGGATCCAGCCTTCCTGCTCCACTGGTGCTGCAGCGTCTGGGCCCGTCAGCCCCATGGGGATTCGTGCGGACCAAGCAGCAAAGCTGGATCTGCCCCCAGACACAGCAGACAGAGCCCAGACAGCAGGACTTGCGGGCTTCTTTCACAGGGTGATGACTGTGAAGCCCCGGCCTGACAGACAGAACCCAGACAGCAGGGCTTGGGGGCTTCCTTAGCAAGGTGGCAGTGGGAACACGCCCAGGCCCTGCAGATAGAGCCAGGACAACAGGACATGGGGACTTCCTTAAGTGTGTCAGTGTTAGGGAAGCCCCCAGGCCTGGCAGACAGAGCACACTGCAGGCATTGGGGCTTCCTTCCCATGGCGGCGGCAGGCAGAGAGCAGACAGCAGGGCATGGGGGCTTCATCTCCATGACTGTAGCAAAACCCCCAGGCCCAGCAGAGAGCAGAGAACCATGGGAGTGGGTCTGAGCCAATCAGTAGGACATCCCCTGAGAGCTCCTGGATTGAGAGGGTGCAGGTTGAGCTGAGGGACCCCTGTGCACAAATTTTGTGCACCAGGCCTCTAGTATATATGATCTCTGAATGCATAATAATCTGGCCACTCTGTGTGTGTGTGTGTGTGTGTGTGTGTGTGTGTGTGTGTATATATATATATACACACACACACTAGAGGCTCGGTGCATAAATTCATGCATGGGTGGGGTCCAGCCAGCCTGGCCAGGGGGAGGGGACATGGGGCGGTTGGCCAGCCTGCCTGCTGGTTGAATTCCTGGTCAAGGGGACAATTTGCATATTAGCCTTTTATTATATAGGATGTACACCTAGTGGCCAGATTACTATGTTACTATGCATTCAGAGATCATAATAATCTGGCCACTCAGTGTGTGTGTGTGTGTGTGTGTGTGTGTGTGTGTAAATTTTCTTTTTTTTTTCAGATGAACTTTTATTACACTATTTGATTACGTTTACATTTACTTTAAGAACTGAAATACTGACTAATAACTAAGAAGTAAGTTAGTTTTCAGGTTGATTTTAAATGAATTGAAAATTTATTTTTAAGATTCTAAGCAAGTTATTCCCTGTCATTTAATGGAATTTTACTCTTACAATTACAGGGGTGGGCAAACATAAGTTTATAGTTGTAAGTATGCAAAAGTTTATTCTTGTATTATTACTGGTTAATTATTGCATTATTTTGCCAACCCTTGTATATAGAATGGATATTCTTAATGTGATGTATACAGGAAATTAATTCTAAAGTGAAATATTTATCTTAAAGCATATGCTTTTAAAACATTCAATCAATTTTATATTGGTAGTGTCAAATCTAGAAAATGTAATTTTGAATAAATCAAAGTAACTCTTAATGTAGCAACGTTGATTATGATTTTTAAAAGAACAAAATAGAAAAATGATGTCTGTGTCTAGTAATAATGCTTTCTTAGACTTCTGCAAGGGCTTTGATGACTTACAAAAGGCTCTTACAGTCCTTATTATATCAGAGCCTCACAACCATGGAATAAGACGACAGAACAGAAAATAGCCAACTTGTTTCTGAGATGAGATAATTGAGGCACAGAGGGGACAGGCCTGGTAAGAAAGTGGCAGGCCTGCTTTCAGCTCCATTAGGGCTGTTCTGGCAGAATATGGCAAAACCAGTAGTGGCCAACTCACTGAGCTGGAGGAAAAAACAGAGGCCAGTACTACAGATGCCAGCCACTGCCTACACGAGAACACCACATTGCAATGAAAATGGTGCTTGTATGGTGCTCTAAAATATTCAACACATTTCTAACCACAGCCTCACCCCAGCCTCAAAGTGACCCATCTTACAGATGAGAAAACTGAGGTTCCAGTGTTTGACCAAGGTCACATAGCTGGTAAGTGTTCAGGGCTGTGTACTCCTGACCTCAAGGACCTCATAAGCAAACTAAGCAGAGGGGGAATTAAAAACTGCCCCTTGGGGACAGATTTCTCTCTCAACTGGTCAAAGCACTGAAGAAATAAAAAAAAAAGGAGCAAAACATTTACCTTGCAGGAAGCTTTCATTATAAACAATGTTCAAGACCTTTAAAAATCTCATCTCTAACTAAATATACATTCGTGTATGGAAGAATAGAAAAACCTGGATTACCTAGGCAGTATTTAAAATAACATAAGTAGTAAAACAGAGATATTTGGTGTTCTCTACTAGTGATCTAAATTGTAATCTGACAAAGATGCTCAGTGGTTATCTGTGGGACTGAAAATATAAGTAAAAACATGCGCTAAATGGGCGGACATTCCTATATGTTAAGAATTCATTTACCACAATGTCTAAGAGGAAGAAGGAAGGAAAGGGGAGGGATTTTAGTTTCCTTTTGAAAGGCTAAGTCACCTTTATTGCCCAGTTATAGCAGACTTTTCTTATTATGTAGCCCCTTTTCCTGTCAGCATCTATCCGATTGCAAATCTAACGGAAACCTGCCTGTGTATCCATCATGGATGATCTGTAGTTACCATCTACCCAGCATTCTTTCCCCCTTCTTCTGATAAGGACACTTCTCTCTACTGTGGGGAACAACCCCTCAACTTCATAGGCTTCTGTGGGGGAGGGAGAAGAGTGACCTCTTGTTCCTCCTGCCCCCACTTGTAGGGAAGTGACCCAGGCTGGGCCAATTGAAGCTTTTCTCTTAGACCCTGGGTTGCATCTACCCCAGTCCACTGAAGGCCACTCCCCACTCTCACCACTTAGAGGAACCCAGAGATAAAGAGTAAGACAAGAAAAATTCAACAGATGGAGGGGGTGGGGGTGTGCTGACAACACTATTTGAAACTCTGGTGCCAAATGTGCTGTGGCCGTTTATCTGCAACAGTGATGTGCACCAAGACAGTTTGTTCTTTGGCTTAAGCTAGAATGGTTTGTATTTTTCGTCACCTGCATCCAAAGCATCCTGGCCAACAAAGTTACAAACAGTGTGGTTTAGTGGGAGGGTAGAGAGGAGGTCTGGATCCAAGTCCTGTTTCTGTCATCTGCTAGCTCCGTGACCTTGAGCAAGCCACATCCTCTTGCAGGACCACAGAGTTGACATCATGAAGAGAAGTACAGTATTCAGAAGACAGAAGAGGGTCCCACAGTCCACTGAGTGGGGCTGAACCACGGCTGGAGAGTCAGGTTTCACTCTCATGGTCCTTCTGAAGAGTGTGAATCAGAACTGTGAATGACAAACCTGAGAAGGGAAGCCATATCTCCCCTCCCCAACCCCTTCTCTTTAGTCTGTGAAGTTTCCCTCCACGTGCCTGGCATCAACAATCACTTGGCACCTCCCAGCCTTGTTTCTCCAACCTGGGTGTGGATACCCATAATCCTAGGAGACATCACTAATCAATCCCAGAGACCCTGCCATATCAAACTTTCTGAACCATCATCAGCTCCATGTTTTCTAAATTAGGAAAGCACAGCCAGTTACCCAGGCCCCTAAGGCCTAAAAGCTGGGATTTACAATGGAGTCCACCCCTCACTTCACACCTGATATCACAAGAATGCACCTTGCTTGATTGCTATTCCATTTTCCCTTTTCAGACACCCATCCTTCTTCTGTGGTCTCCTCTTGCCTCGTGAACGTAAGCCCAGTCTCTATGCTTAAACTCCCAAATTGAGGTCTGCAGCCCAGACACCACCTCTGAACTCCAGGATCATATAAACCAACTGCCTCCAGGACAACTGGCATCTCATAACTGATAGTACAGAGCTAGAGCCTGCCAGTCTCCTAAAACTGTTTCCCTTACAGGCTTGCTTCTCCATCTCAGCAACACCACTTCCTACAAGCCAGAAACCTCAGGATTGTCCTGAATTCTTCTATCTTACCCAACAACCAATAATCAGCAAACCCTATTGGCTCTTCCCTGGAAATTTTCTTCAATTATATCCAGAATCTAACCACTTCATCCTCTACCCCTCATTGTTCCAGTCTAAGCCTCTCTCACCTGGATGACTGCAGTAGCCTCTTACTTGCTAGTCTCTCTGCTTCAACCCTTACTCCTTTTGATCTGTTGTCCACACTGCAGTCATGGAGATCTAACTGAAATCTAAATAGATTATATCATTCCTCTGCTCCAAGACCTGCAAAGGCTCTCCATAACTCTCCACCATCCTACCCAAGGGTGCACAGGCTTCTGCCTAGAATGCAGTTGTCCCAGATATCTGTATGACTGGATCCCTCTCCTCTTTATGAACATTATTCAAATGTCACTTTCTCAGGTAGGCTTTCTGTGACCACCCTAAATAAAATTCCAGCCACTTCCCAAGTGCATATCCCCAATAATTTCCATCCCTTTCCCAACTTACTTTTCTCCTCGAGCACTAATCATCATCATCTGCAGAGAACACATTTCACTTGGATTTTTGTCTTTCTCCCACCAAACATACACTCCTTGAGAGCAGGTATTTGTGTCTGTTTCCTGCTATACCCTCAGCCCAACATAATGCCTCACAGAGAGAAGGCACGTGCATTTGCAGAAGAAATGAATGATTAGCATTTCCATAATCTGATCAATAAGACTACCTGCTTCCAGTCCATTCTCAAATGCAAGTCCCATCTTGTAGTTCACTTGATGAAAACCCTTTTGTGGTCCCTGCAATAGAGTGACCATATATTTCCCCCTTCCAAACCAAATCACTACTCTGAGTTGGAGGAGAACACTATTAATAATTACACTGGCCCAACTAGTAAGCCAGTACCATCCTGGGCAAAAGAGGTCATGTGGTCCACCCTACACGTAGAGCCAAGTGGCTGTTAAAAATGCAGAATTCCAGCCGAAACCGATTTGGCTTAATGGATAGAGCGTCGGTCTGTGGCCTGCAGAGTCCCAGGTTCGATTCCAGGCAAGGGCATGTACATTAGTTGCGGGCACATCCCCAGTGGAGGGTATGCAGAAGGCAGCTGGTCGATGTTTCTCTCTCATCGGTGTTTCTAACTCTCTATCCATCTCCCTTCCTCTCCGTAAAAAATCAATAAAATATATATAAAATAAAATAAAATAAAATAAAATAAAATGCAGAATTCCAGACTAGATTTAGGGTGAGACCCAAGAATATGCATTTAAATCAAGCACTGGAGGTGATTCTGTGACAAGTTATACAGAACCATGCCCTGAGAAGCACTGGCCCAGAGGATAAAGGCAAATGCCCTGGGAAGGCACACAGGTCCCTTCAAGATCTGGCTCCTGTCATCCCGCCAGTCTTTTCCCTTACCAGTTCCCCACATCCAGTACCACCTACATGACTGCACATTCCACTCCAATGGCTCTACACATTCCACTCCAATGGCTCGAAGCCATTCCCACCCTTTCCCCTGGCTAACTTCCCATTCTTTACCACTCAGTTCAAATCTCAGCTTCCTCAGAAGGCCCTTGCTTACTTACTGCCCATAATTGCCAATCCCCCCACCACTAACAAATAAACCAAGTAACCACTTCTGTGTACCCACAATGTGGTAGATGGCAGCTTAGGCTGTGACCTTTTAGAAACTATTAACCTCTGGGCCTCCCCCAAACATCCTGAATCAGAAGCCTCAGGAGGGGGCCTTGCCATGGAGTTTTTATTTTATTTTATTTTATTTTATTTTTTTTAATTTTTTACAGAGAGGAAGGAAGAGAGATAGTTAGAAACATCAATGAGAGAGAAACATCGATCAGCTGCCTCCTGCACACCTCCCACTGGGGATGCACCCGCAACCAAGGTACATGCCCTTGACCGGAATCGAACCTGGGACCTTTCAGTCTGCAGGCTGATGCGCTATCCACTGAGCAAACCGGTTTTGGCCCCATGGAGTTCTTTAAAAGCTTCTCAAATGATCACCATCTAGAATGTTTGCATGTTCACCCTACCTTAGCACTTACATCCAACTTAAACTGCTGGTTTGTCTTCTCCACGGTAAGAGAGCAATTATTCTCTGACTCTCCAAGCCCTCAGACATTACAGAGCATCCGCAATGAGGGGAAAATGCTGACCATTCCAAGTACTGTCTTAGCTGTGCTTAGTTTTCAGTGAAGCTGACCACTTGGGCGATTAACTTACTAAAATACACTGTAATTACACTGGGGTAGAGACAAAGGGAGTGTTCCTTGTTTTTCCCATGTTTTTGGAAATTTCCCAAAGCACAGCTCAGTAGTGTGACTAAGCCAGGCAAGAATAAACATTTGAACCTGATGGAGCTGTCTCTCTTGCCTAACTGCACTCTGGTGTCAAGTGAAATGGCCAAGATGTGGGCATACTGGATATTCTGGATATCCCTTGCCTCGGGGGCATCAGGATGGCCCTCCCAGTTGGACATGGTCAGTTTATGCTTGTAACTGATGGATCTTAGTTCTGAGACTGGGTAATAAGCAGTAGATTCAGAAGGTAGAGAACTGAAAGTAAATGATTGCGTGTTCTGCATCAGGAGCAGTCTGGACGTGTTCCATCCCAATTTTTCAAATCAGGGTGTCTTTGCCCCCATGTGAACCAGCTTCACACTTGCTGGGTTCCACCCCCTGTCCCCCACTCTAAATCCCAACATCAAAGACCCCAAGCATGGGGCGGCTGATATGTGGTGGTCTTCAAACCACAGGAGGCAAGGTCACTCTAGGAGAGGAGAGCCCGGGGAAATATCCTCCCAGTGATTTGTGGCTGGGGCACAGGAAGAGGTGGCACTGGCAATGGTTTGACAGCTGCCAAGCCCCTCAGGGGAACTTCTGTTCGCAAGGCGGAAGTGAGCCAGGTGAGGGGTCCGGGATGTTGAGATGGGCCGAGTAGGGAGCCAAGGAGGGGGACGCTGCACTCCGACCTCCGACCCATGAGGACCTCCGGCTCATGAGGGGCCCTAGGGAATCGGGGTACGGAGGCCTCGGCGGGCCAGGCCCGGCTTACCTGTCCAGGGTCTCCACGCTGGCCTGCCTGGAGCCGGTGGGCGGGGCCCCCGCGACCCGAGGGGGTCTCCAGCCCCCAGCCGGCCCCGGCCCCGGCCCCCCGGCGCCCTCGCTGCTCGCCGCCGCCGCCGCCGCCTGCCAGTCCATGGCGCGCCCGGACCGCTGCAGCCGCAATCGGGATCGGAAGGTTCTGCCACGCTCCTGAGGCCCTAACTGCCGCCGGCCGGCTTAGGCGGTCGCCGCCATTAGCTGTCACCTGGCGGCCCCGCGTTACCCACAAGCCCGCGCGCGCGGGGGAGTGGGGGTGGGGGGTTCCCAGGGGGCGCGGCGCCGGCGGCCAGGCGTCCGGTCGCCCCTAGCACCCGCCCACGCCCACCTAGGCTCCCGCCCGGGAAACCGGAACTGGGGGCAGAGGCTGGAGAGACTGCGACACGACCCAAACCATTTTGGGGAGCAGTCTACCAAGGGATGGTACAGAACGTGCTTTGCTCAGGGAACTACCAGATTGATTATTGAGATGCAGCGTTTTTGTTTTTGTTTTTGTTTTTTTTAAAGTTCAGAGAAATTAAAGGATTGAAAGTCATTTCTTTTCTTTTACTTTTTCTTCCCACTTTTAGCCAAGCACTTGGTTACGAGGAAAGTTTGGGGGCGCGGAAGCTCAGGCCCCTGAGAGTCCCTAGTCATGACATCTCCAAGCTGGAGGAATTCCATACGTTTTAGCAATTCCATGCCACCCCCTTTTCTCCCTCCCTCCCACAACCGCCACCGCCCCCGCCCGGCCATCTGGAGGTTAACCAAGTGTTCTAACGCCGCCGCCCTCGGAATTTCCGCCCTTGGTTTATATTAAGAATGACATTGAAATAATGTTGGTTAAATTAGTGCTATGAAAATTAAGCCAGTATCTGATCCTGGACTAGACTTATGTTCCTGCCCGTTTCGCTAGGGTTCACATATTCAACTTCTCATCCCTCGTCAACTCACCTCTGTTTTTTGTTTGTTTGTTTGTTTGTTTTTGTTTTTTTAAATATATTTTTATTGATTTTCCACAGAGAGGAAGGAAGAGGTATAGAGAGCTAGAAACATCCATGAGAGAGAAACATTGATCAGCTGCCTCCCGCACCCCTATCTCCCCACCCCCCCACTGTGGATGTGCCCGCAACCAAGGCACATGCCCTTGACTGGAATCGAACCTGGGACCCTTCAGTCCGCAGGCCGATGCTCCATCCACCGAGCCAAACCAATCAGGGCTCACCTCTGGTTTTCTTGGAAATCATGGCTAGGCCCCTTTGCCTATGATTGCCCTCGGTATGGAAAGCAGACTTTATGACCCTGGTAAAAGGCAGACCATGAAGTTCCCGCTTCCCACTGACCCATCTTGCCTTACCAGCTTAATAACTTCAAACTGAACCTTAACATGTGATTGCTGGAGCCCCAGCAGCCATATAGCACACAAGAGGAGGAAAGCCGGGAAAAAGGGCAGGAGGAGGAAGCATGCAATGAAGGAAGGAGAGCTCTAGGCACACTGTAGACCTGCAAGGTTCTGTTTTTCCAAAATTTTAAGTCAAATGTTTACCCCACTATTGTAGACTGAATGTTTGTATCTCTCCTTCTCAAATTCATATGTTGAAGCTCTAACCCTCGATTAATGATAATTGAAGATGAGGCCTTTAGCTGATGATTAGCTCATTAGGAGGGGTCCCTTGGTCTGATGGGATAAGTGTCTTCATAAAAAGAGACACCAGAGAGATTGGTTTCACTCTCTCCATGTGCAGGCATGGAGGAAAGACCATGTGAGGACACAGTGAGAAGGAAGCTGTCTGCAAGCCAGGAAGAAGGCTCTCACCAGGGCTCTCATAAAACCTTGCCAGAACCTTGACCTTGGACCTTCTATCGGTGAATGTCTCCTTCTACCAACATCTTAACTTGGTTATAAATTCATTCACTAAGAAGTCCAGGAACATGAAGAAACCTGAGATAGTCGTGGAGAATTGCCTTTCAACACACAAGTGTCTCAACCCATATCAGGATTGTTGGGTTGACCACACTGCCTTCCCAGGAATCACTTAAGGGGACATATATCCACCTGTGTGGTAGGAGGCAAAGTGAGGAATGAATTGTCAGGCCTGCACTGGTGAGATACTAGGACACTAGCATTTAAGAGGCAGGTGAGAGGAGAGGTGCTTTGGAAGAGTCTGAAACAATGCCAGAGACAAGTACAAGAGCCAGGGTAAAGGGGACCTGAGGGCCAAAAAAGTAGATAGTTTTAAAAAGGAATGGCTCGCCGGCACCGGTTTGGCTCAGTGGATAGAGCGTCAGCCTGCGGACTGAAAGGTCCTGGGTTTGATTCCGGTCAAGGGCATGTACCTTGGTTGCGGGCACATCCCCAGCAGGGGGTGTGCAAGAGGCAGCTGATCGATGATTCTCTCTCATCGATGTTTCTAACTCTCTATCCTTCTCTCTTCCTCTCTGTGAAAAATCAATAAAATATATTTTTTTAAAAAATAATAAAATAAAAAGGAATGGCTCGGTGTCAGGTGGTGCTGAGACATATGGTAAAATAGGGCAGAGAAGTGAGCCCTAGAATCAGCAATGTGGAGGTGGTGTGGACATTGATAAGAACACTTTTAGGGGACAATTGGAGCTGGAGGTAAGGGTTAAGAAATGTCTGGGAGGGTTATTAACTTCTCCAGAGAAACAGAATCTATCACTCTATCATCTCTGTTTCTATATCTGTCTCTATAGTCATGAGCCACTCAAGGATGGGTGTAGATTCTGAGAAGTGCATAGCTAGGCGATTTCTTTGTTGTGAAAAACATCATAGAGTACACTACACAAACCCAGATGATATAGCTTTTACACACCTAGGCTATATGGTCTTGCTGTTAGGTACAAACCTGTACAGCATGTTATGTGTACAAAACAACATGAGATCAAATCAAGCACAAGAAAAAATGATGCAATCAAGTGAGGAAGTAAGCCCGAAATGTATGAGGCTGCTGCTGGTGTAACATTACATAGTGTTTCACAACAAACTTATAAGTAGAAAGAGCACACTCTAAAATGATGATAAAAAGTATAGCACGGTAAATACATAAACCAGCACCATAGTCATTTATTTTTATGATGAAGTATTCTGTACTGCATATAATTGTACATGCTATACTTTTATGTGAGTAGCAGCTCAGTAGGTGTGTTTACACCAATATCACCACAAACACATGAAGAATGCATTGCACTGTGGTGTTACAGTGGCTATGATGTCACTAAGTGATAGGAATTTTTCAGCTCCATTTTAATGTTATGTATCCACCTTTGTATAGGCAGTCCATTATTTACTGAAACCTCATTATGCAAAGCATGACTGCAATGAGATTTATTATACAAAATTGGCTCACTTGATATGGAGGCCAGATTCAGCAAAGCCAGCACTGTATTTTGAAGGTAGACTCTAGTCTGGGTCTGAAGGTCTGAGAACAAGGAGTACTAAGGGCAGAAGATGGATGTCTTGGCTCAATAGTCAGGAAGAAAGAGAATTCCACCTTCCTCTACCTTTTTGTTTTATTCAGGACTTCAGTGGATTGTCATTCTGGGGAGGGACATTGACTTTACTCAGTCTACAGATTCACTGATTCAAATAATAATCTCTTGCAAATGTCCTCACCGACACACCCAGAAATAATATAACAAGACATCTGGACATCCCATGGCCCAGTCAAGTTGATACATATAATTAGCCATTACACAGGGGAAGAAAGGAGACACAAAGTTCAAACCAGTTATTCCCAGACTTTTGAATTACATGGACCAATAAAATGAAAACAAAACCAAAACAGCTCTAGTCAGTTTGGTTCAGTGCATAAAGTGTCGGCCTGTAGACTGAAGGGTCTGGGTTTGATTCAGGTCAAGGGCACATACCTTGCTTGTAGGCTCAATCCCTGGTCCTGGTCAGGGTACACGCCGCAGACAACCAACTGATGTGTCTCTCTCACATTGATGTTTCTCTGTCTCTCCCACTCTCTCTAAAAAAAAAAAAATCTGTGCTCTGCCTATTCATCTCTTCCTCCCCACAACCCCTGGCAACTACAGATCTTTTTACTGTCTTATGATATATAATTACAATCATACAGTATATAGCATATCACGTTGGCAATGTGCATTTAAGGTCCCTTCATGTATTTTAATGGCTTGATAGCTCATTTCTTTTTACCACTGAAGAATATTCCATTCTCTGGATAGGTCACAGTATATTTATTCATTTACTTACTGAAGGACATCATGGTTGCTCCCAAGCTGTGGAAATTATCAATAAAACTGCTATAAACATCCATGTGCAGGTTTTAGTGTGGACATAACTTTTTAATTCCTTTGTGAAAATATCAAGGAGCACTTTCACTGGATGGTATGTTTAGTTTTGGGGACTGCCAAACTGTCTTTCAAAATGCTATATCAGGCCCAGAGCAGCGGCTGCCAGGCTGGGAGCGGCCAGGCCCGGAGCAGCAGCAGCCAAGTCCAGAGCAACTAGGTCGGGAGCGGCAGTGACCAGACCCGGAGCAGCTGGTTGTGGAACGAACCAGAGCAACAGAGGCCAGGCCCTGAGCAGCCAGGCCCAGAACAGCTCGCTCCTCGCCTGCCCCTGCCCCACGGCTGCCTCTCAGACATGGCTGGAAACTTTCGTGGGAACTTGAGGGTCTGCTGAATCAAGTGATGAAGGCTTAGATCTGGATGTGTTGAGTTAGTATAGAGCTGGGGTGTTGATCTGTGAGTGCCTTGGATGGGGCGTGGATAAGGCTGGTAGACCTATTGGGAAATGTCTTTTGTGTGAAGTGTATCATTGGGCATGTGGAGGTATTATTGATATGAGAAAATGCTAAGTAACTGATTTACTATCTGAAAAGGGATTTACTATTGGGGAAAGGGAGGGAAGAAGAGACTGAACATAAACTGTGCACCTATGGATGAGGACAATGGGGGATGGGGAGGGGCCGGAGGGTGGGGTGGGAACCTGGTGGAGGGGGGAAGAAATGAGGAACCTTTGTAATAATATGTACAATAAAGATTGATTTAAAAAAAAAACAACAAACAAACAAAAAAACACAAAAAAAAACCAAAATGCTATATCATTCTGTATTTCCACCAGCAATGAATGA